CCAGGAGCGACCAGCAGAGCGCCAGAGTTGGCCCCGAAGAGAGGCCAGAGAGGAGACCAGAGAGATACCAGAGAGAGACCAGGGTATGAGACCAGTGGAGAGAACAGGGACCCCCCCCCCCCCCACCCCCCCCAACCCCCTGAGACCAGAGAGAGACCAGAGAGAGACCAGAGAGGGACCAGAGATGGACCAGAGAGAGCCCAGAGAGAGACCAGGAGAGAGACCAGAGAGAGGACCAGAGAGAACCAGACAGAGACAGAGAGAGTCAGAGAGAGGGACCAGAGATGGACCAGAACGGAGAGAACAGAGAGCAGACCAGTGAGACCAGAGAGAGACAGAGACACCAGAGATGGAGACAAAGAGAGGACCGGAGAGGGACAAGCTGGGAGACAGCCGTTGTGGACTGACCTGTCCCAGTGGTCTGACTACCTCACAGACAGACCCCAGATTGTGAGAACCAGGACTATGTGTCTGAGGTCCTGACCTGCAGTGTGGGGGGGGGGGGCCCCAGGGGGGAATTCGACACAACAACGGTTCGGTAGTGTCCTCCAGAGTTCTCCACGACTTGCCATCATCGGACTCAGCTCCGGAGACGATGACACACGTACAGAGGAGTATACAGGACTTTTGTGGCGAGGAAAGACCAAGGAGATGACCCACCTCCTCATCAACAGAAGCCAAGGAGGTGAACCACCTCCTCATCACAGAGACCAAGGAGAGAACCACCTCCTCATCACAGAAGACCAAGGAGATGAACCACCTCTTTTCCCATCAACAGAAGACCAAGGGATGAACCACCTCCTCATCAACAGAAGACTAAGGAGGATGACCACCTCCTTCATCAACAGAAGACCAAGGAGATGAACCACCTCCTCATCAACAGAAGACCAAGAGATGAACCACCTTCTCATCAACAGACGACAAGGGAGATGAACCACCTCCTCATTCACCGAAGACAAAGGAGTCGAACCACCTCCTCATCACAGAAGGACCAGGAGAAGATCCACCTTCCTCTATAAAACAGATGGACCAAGGAGAAGAAAACACCTCCTCATCAACAGAAGACCAAGGAGTTGAACCACCTCCTCATCAACAGAAGACCAAGGAGATGAAACCACCTTCTTCATCACCAGCAAGGCCAAGGAGAAGAACACCTCCTCATCAAACGTGGGAAGACAAGGAGAGATGAAACACCTCCTCATCAACGCGGGGACGACTAGAGATGAACCACCTCCTCATCACCCGCGGGGCAAGACATAAGGAGATGAACACCTCTCATCATGTGAGGATAGACCCACAGGAGATGGTGGCTGGTTATCCGCAGACGTCACTCTGCGCTTCCAGCTCCAGTGGAACATCCAGGGATTGAAGGACATCGAGAGAGTTGATCTTACAAGTACCTGGGTTTCTCTGAACCACAAACTGTACTGGAGTCATAACACAGACGCCTCTTCAAAGAAGGGCCAGAGCCGCCTTACCTGCTGAGGACAGGCTCAGTCTTATTGAGAGCTTAGAAAAGGGGCCACTTCTGAAAGACCTTTCTATGACTCGTGGTGGAGCCTCTTGTACGGTGTGGTCCTCGCATGGAAACAGCAGCATTCACAGAGAGGACAGTGAAGAGAGTGGACAAGTTATCAGGAAGTCCATCAGTCCTGGGCTGTTCCCTGGACACAGCTGCAGCAGGTGGGGGACAGGAGGGTCCTGAGCAACTAATCTATGCGGACCTGATGTCGCCCCCTGCTAGGACATCTCTCTGCTCTGGAGAGCATAGCTTCAGTGACAGACTATTCACCCTCGCTGTGTGACGGAAGAGGTTTGACAGGTCTTCTTCCCTGGCTGCTGTCAGGACTGTACAACGGAATGTGCAACAGGAAATGCTAATCAGTGCTGATAGTTCACTATAACTTTGCTCACTTGTCCTTTCCTGTTTTCAGTCACTACCTGTATTATTACAGATCTGTTAATTCTGCCTTTCACCGTCACTTTACCTGTGATTTTTTTACGATGCTATTCTGCTCATATTTCATATTCTCCGCTGCTAAAGTACAATATATACATCTGTAAATACTCCTGAACCAAGTGCAGTTATAGCCCAAAAGTTTATTTTATTCTTATCTTAAATTTTATTGTCTATTGTCATAAACACATCGACTATTTGATGTGTGCAATCTGAGTGACTCTTATGTCTCTTCTCTGCTGTAATGTGCAACCGATGACACTGACATTACTCACTTGAGAGCCTAATAAAGGTGTATCTTATCTAAGAGAGAGAGAGAGACAGAGCAGCAGAGAGCAGACGCGAGAGACCAGGGAGAGAGGACAGAGAGAGATAGCAGAGAGAGGGACCAGAGGAGAGAGCTAGAGAGAGACCAGAGAGAGAGCACAGAGAGAGAGGCCCAGGGAGAGAGAGCGAGAGAGAGCAGAGAGAGAGACCAGCGAGAGACCAGGAGAGAGAGCAGAGAGAGAGAGACCCAGAGAGAGAGAACAGAGAGAGAGACCAGAGAGAGAGCACGAGAGAGACCAGAGAGAGGAGACCAGAGAGAGAGGGACAGATAGAGAGAGGGACCGATGAAGAGAGAACAGGTAGAGAGACCAGGGAGCGAGAGCAGAGAGAGAGCAGAGAGAGAGCATAGAGATTGTGAGCAGAGGAGAGAGACCAGAAGAGAGACCAGGGAGAGAGAGCAGAGACGAGAGCAGAGAGAGAGACCAGAGAGGACCAGGGGAGAGAGAGCAGAGAGAGCGAGGACCAGATGAGAGAAACCAGAGAGAGAGCGAGAGAGGACCAGAGAGAGAGACCGAGAGAGGAGACAGGTAGAGAGAGCAGAGAGAGAGAGAGTGAGAGCAGAGAGAGAGGAGAGCAGAGCGAGACCAGAGAGAGACAGGGAGAGAGAGAGAGAGAGTAGCAGAGGAGAGAGCAGAGGCGAGGCAGAGAGAGAGAGCATAGAGAGACCGAGAGACAAACCAACACTACTCTCCCAGTGTGATTAGGATCAGAGATGTGTCACCTGCTGATTAGACAGTGAGAGTTCATTTCCTTCTAACTTGAACCAATAACAGCGTCTGGTGGTGAGAACAAAACGCTTCAGACTTTCCCGAGAGCAGTACGGGCCTCTGGTATTCCTGGTTCCCCCTCTCGCTCTTCTCTCTCTGTCTCTCTCTCTGTATTTTGTCTCTCTCCTCTGTCTCTCTTTGGTACTCACTCTGGTCTCTCTCTCTGGTCTTCTTGGTCTATCTCTGGACTCTCTCTGGTTCTCTCTCCCTGGTCTCTCTCTGGTTCTCTCTTCTGCTCTCTCTCTCTCTGCTCTCTCTCTGCTTCTCTCTCTGCTCCTCTACCTGGTCTCTCTCTCTGGTCTCTCTCTCTGGTCTCTCTCTGCTATCTCTCTGGTTTCTCTCTCTGGTCTCTCTCTCTAGCTCTCTCTCACCCTGCGTCTCTCTCTGGTTCTCTCTCTCTGCTCTCTCTCTGCTCTCTCTCCCTGGTCTCTCTCTGTCTCTCTCTGCTCTTCTCTCTCTGCTCTCTCTCTGCTCTCTCTCTAGGCTCTCGCTCCCGGTCTCTCTACCTGGTCTCTCTCTCTGGTCTCTCTCTCTGTCTCTCTCTCTGAGTCTCTCTCTCTGGTCTCGCTTGCTCTCTTCTGGTCTCTCTCTCTGAGTCTCTCTCACTGGTCTCTCTCTCTCTGCCTCTCTCTCCCTGGTCTCTTCTGGTCTCTCTCTCTGCTCTCTCTCTGCTCTCTCTCCCTGGTCTCTCCTCTGGTCTCTCTCCTGGTCTCTCTCTGCTCTCTCTCTCGGTCTCTCTCTCTGCTCTCTCCTTCTGGTCTCTCTCCCTGGTCTCTCTCTCTGCTCTCTCTCTCTGGTCCTCTCTCTCTCTCTGAGCTAGATAAACCTTTATTAGTCTCACAGTGGAGATATGTCAGTGTCATCGTGGCCCACATTACAGCAGAGGTGAGGACATAAGAGCTCTCAGATTGCACACATCAAATAGTTCTATTGGTTACGCAATTAGCAATTAAAATTAAGATAAGATTAAATAAACTTTGGGCTATAACTGCACTTGGTTTCAGGAGTATTTACAGAGGTATATATTGTACTTAGCAGCGGAGCATTATGAATATGAGCAGGAATAAGCATCGTAAAAAATATCACAGGTAAAGTGACGGTGAAAGCCAGAATATTCAGATCTGTAATAATACAGTAGTACGGATAACAGGTTAATAGTGACTAGTGACAAGTTATAGTGAACTATCAGTTTGACATGATTAGCAGTAATGTTGAACATTCTCGTTGTACAGTCTGACAGCAGCAGGGAAGAAGGACCTGTCAAACCTCTCCATCACACTCGAGGGTGAATTAGTCTGTCACTGAAGCTGCTCTCAGGAGCAGAGAGAGTGGGTATCAAGCAGGGGGCGACCTAGTCTTGTCCAGCATAGATGTTAGTTTGCTCAGGACCCTACTGCCCCCACCTGCTGCACTGTGTCCTGGAACAACCAGGACTGAGCTGGACTTCTGATAACCTTGTCCAGCTTCTTCTGTCACACTCTGTGATGCTGATGTTTTATTCCAGCAGGACACACCGAACAAGAGGCTCACCACAGGAGTCATAGAAGGTCTTAAGGAGTGGCCTGCACTCAAAAGACCTGTGCCTCCTCAGCAGGCTTGAGGCGGCCTCTGGCCCTTCTTGAAGAGGGCGTCTGTGTTATGGACTCCAGTCCAGTTTGTGGTCAGATGAACACACAGGTACTTGTAAGAGTCCATCTCTCGATGTCCTTTCCCTGGAAGTTCACTGGAGCTGGAGCGGCAGAGTGAACGTCTGCGGACAACACCACCATCCTCCTTGGTATTCCTCACGTTGATGAGGAGGAGGTTCATCTCCGTGTCTTCCCCGCGTGCTGAGGGATGTGGTTATCTCCTTAGTCTTTCCCGCGTTTGTGAGGAGGTGGGTCTCTCCTTGGTCTTCCCACGTTGTGAGGAGGTGTCTTCTCCTTGGCATTATGTTGTGAGATGGTGGTTCATCTCATTGGACTTCTGTTGATGAGGAGGTGGTTCATCTCCTCTGGTCTTCTGATGTGACGGAGGTGGTTCTTCTCCTTGGTCCATATGTTTGATGAGGAGGTTGGATTCTTCTCCTTGCGTTTCTGTTGATGAGGAGGTGGTTCATCTCCTTGGTCTTCTGGTGATGAGGGAGGTGGTTCATCTCCTTGGTCTTCTGTTGTGAGCCGGTGGTTCATCTCCTTGGTCTTATGTTGGATGAGGAGGTGGTTCATCTCCTTGGTCTTCTGTTGATGAGGAGGTGGTTCATCACCTTGGTTTCCGTTGATGAGGAGGTGGTTCATCTCCTTGGTCTTCTGTTGATGAGGGAGGTGGTCATCTCCTGGTCTTCTGATGATGAGGAGGTGGTTCATCTCCTTGGTCTTTGTGATGAGGAGGTGTTTCACCTCCCTTGGTCTTTGATATGAGGAGGTGGTTCATCTCCTTGGTCTTTCTCCACAAAGTCCTGTTATAACTCCTCTGTATCTGGTGTATCGTCCTCGGAGCTGGAGTCCGATGATGGCAGAGTCGTTGGAGGAACTTCTGGAGGGGGACACAACCGACCGTGTAGTGTCTGAGTCCCCTGGGGGGCCCCACACTGCAGGTCAGGACCACAGACACAAAGTCCCTGGTTCTCACAAACTCGGGGTCTGTCTGTGAGGTAGTCAGGCATCCATGGGACCGGTCGTAGGTCCACAACGGTGTCTCCAGCTTGTCTCTCTCCGGTCTTCTTTGGTCTCTCTCTGGTGTCTCTGGTCTCTCTCTGGTCTCTTCTGGTCTCTCTCTGGTTCTCTCTATGGTCCATCTCTGGTCTCTCTCTGGTCTCTCTCTGGTCTCTCTTGGTCTCTCTCTGGTCTCTCTCTGGTCTCTCTCACTGGTCTCTCTCAGGTCTCTCTCTGGGTCCATCTCTGCTCTCTTGGTCTTCTCTGGTCTCCTCGTGTCTTCCTGGTCTCTCTTGGTCTCTCCCTGGTCTCTCTATGGTATCTCTTATGGTCTCTCTCTGGCCACTCTCGGTCCATCTCTGGTCTTCTCTGGTCTCTCCCTGGTCTCTCTTGGTTCTCCCTGGTCTCTCTCTGTATTCTCTCTGGTCTCTCTCTGCCTCTCTGGTCTCTCTCTGTATCTCTCTGGTCGCTCCTGGTCTCTCTCTGGTCTTCCTGATCTCTCTCTAGGTATCTCTCTGGGCCTCTCTCTGGTCTCTATCAGCGTATCATTTGGTCTCTCCCTGGTCTCTGTGGTCTCTCTCTGGTCTCTCTCTGGTCCATCTCTGGACTCTCTCTGGTCTCTCTCTGGTCTCTCTCTGGTCTTCCCTGGTCTCTCTCTGGTCCTCTCCCTGTTCTCTCCGTATCTCTCTGGTCTCTCTATGGCCTCTCTCTGGTCTCTCTCTGGTATCTCTCTGTCTCTCCCTGGGTCTCTCTCTGGACTCTCCCTGATCTCTCTTGGTATCTCTCTGTCTCTCTGGTCTCTCTTCTGGTCTCTCTCTGGTCTCTTCTGGTATCTCTCTGGTATCTGTCTCAGGTCTCTCTGGTCTCTCTCTGGTCTCTCTCTAGTTCTCTCCTGGTTCTCTCTGGTCTCTCTCTGTCTTCTCTGGTCTCTGTCTGGTCTCTCTGTCTGGTCTCTTATCGGTTTCTCCCTGGTCTCTCCTTGGTCTCTCTCTGGTCTCTCCCTAGGTCTCTCTCTGGTCTTCTCCCTGGCTCTCTCTCTGGTCTCTCCTGGTCTCTTCTGGTATCTCTCTGGTCTCTCTCTGGTCTCTCTCTGGCCACTCTCTGGTATCTCTACTGGTCTCTACCTGGTCTCTCTCTGGTCTCTCCTGAACTCACTCTGGTATTCTCTCTGGTCTCTCTCTGGTCTCTCTCTGGTCTCTCTCTGGTCTCTCTCTGGTATTCTCTACTGGTCTTCACTGGTCTTTCTGGTCTCTCTGGTCTCTCTGGTCTCTCTTGCGTCTCTCTGGTCTCTCTATGGTCTCTCTCTGTCCTCTCTCTGGTCTCTCCCGTTCTCTCTCTGGTATCTCCCTGGTCTCTCCCTGGTCTCTCTTCTGGTCTCTCTCTGGTCATTCTGGTCTCTCTCTGGTCTCTCTTGGTTTCTCCCTGTCTCTCCCTGGTCTCTCTCTGGTCTCTCCTGTCTCTCTCTGGTCTCTCTCTGGTCTCTTCTTAGGTCTCTCTCTGGTCTCTCCCTGGTCTCTCTCTGGTCTCTCTCTGGTCTCTCTCTGGTCTCTCCCTGGTCTCTCTCTGGCCTCTCTCTGGTCTCTCCCTGGTCTCTCTTGGTCTCATCTGGTCTCTCTCTGGTCTCTCCCGGAGTCTCTCTTCTGGTCTCTATCTGTCTCTCTCTGGTCTCTCCCTGGTCTCTCTCGGTCTCTCTCTCGGTCTTCTCTGGTCTCTCCTGGTCTCTCTCTGTCTCTCTCTGGTCTCTCCCTGGTCTCTCTTGGTCTTTCTCTGGTCTCTCCCTGGTTCTCTCTTCAGTCTCTCTCTGGTCTCTCCCAGGTCTCTCCCTGGTTCTCTTCTGTCTCTCCTCTGGTCTCTCTCTGGTCTTCTCTGTCTCTGTCTGGTCTCTCCTGGTCTCTCCTCTGGTCTCTTTTCTCTGGCCTCTCTTGGTCTCTTTGGTTGGTGGAGTAGGCGCGTTGATGCACGAATGAAAGCTTTCCGTCTTGTAAAATTATCAGCTTGATGAAGGGTGTGGATTGACAGATCCCCTCTTTCCTCCTCCTTTCCCCCCCTGTTGCGGCAGGTACTCTATGGACTCGGAATGGACTGGGATGGACTCAAGGACTTGAATGGGACTCGAATGGACTGGACTGACTGATGGACTTGGAATGGCTAGAATGGACGGGACTGGATAGGGTGGACTGACTTGACTAGACTAAAGATACCTGATACAAAGAAAGCCATGATACAACCAGATACCACCTCAGAGTGGAACAGTCTCAGACTCAGAGAAGTCGCTTCATGGTCTCAGGTTGGACAGTCTCAGGACTCAGAGAAGTCGCTTCATGGTCTCCAGAGTTGGACGTCTCAGACTCAGCGAAGTCGCTTCATGGTCTCAGAGTTGGAACAGTCTCAGACTCAGAGAAGTCGCTTCATTGTCTCAGAGTGGAACAGTCTCAGACTCAGAGAAGTCGCTTCATGGTCTCAGAGTTAGAACAGTGTCAGACTAGAGAAGTCGCTTCATAGGTGTCAGAGTTGAACAGTCTCAGACTCCGAGAAGTCGCTTCTTGGTCTCAGGTTGGAACAGTCTCAGACTCAGAGACGTCTGCTTCATGGTCTCAGAGTTGGAATCAGTCTCAGACTCAGAGAAGGTCGCTTCATGGTTCAGAGTTGGAACAGTCTCAGACTCAGAGAAGTCGCTTCATGGTCTCACGAGTTAGAACAGTGTCAGACTCTGAGAAGTCGCTTCATGGATCTCAGAGTTGGAACAGTCTCAGACTCAGAGAGGTCGCTTCATGGTCTCAGAGTTGGATCAGTCTCAGGGACTCAGGAAGGTCGCTTCATGGTTCAGATGTTAGAACAGTGTCAGCTCAGTGAGTCGCTACATGGTCTCAGAGTTAGAACAGTCTCAGACTCAGAGAAGTCGCTTCATGGTCTCAGGAGTTAGAACAGTCTCAGAGCTCAAGAGAAGTCGCTTCATGGTTCAGAGTAAGAACGTGTTCAGACTCAGAGAAGTCGCTTTCCTGGTCTCAGAGTTGGAACCGTCTCAGACTCAGAGAAGTCGCTTCTTGGTCTCAGAGTTAGAACAGTCTCAGATCAGAGAAGACGCTTCCATGGTCTCAGAGTTGGAACAGTCTCAGACTCAGAGAAGTCGTTTCATGGTCTAAGAGTTTAGAACCGTGTCAGCCTCAGAGAAGTCGCTTATGGTCTCAGAGTTAGAAACGGTCTCAGACTCAGAGAAGACGCTTCTGGTCTCAGAGTTGGAACCGTCTCAGACTCAAGAGTCGCTCATGGTCTCAGAGTTAGAACAGTCTCAGACTCAGAGAGTCCCCTTCATGTCTCAGAGTTAGAACAGTCTCAGATCTCAGAAAAGTCGCCTTCATGGTCTCAGTAGTTGGAACAGTCTCAGACTCAAGAGAAGTCGCTTCAGGTCTCAGAGGTTAGACAGTCTCAGACTCCGAGAGTCGCTTCATGGTCTCAGAGTTGGAACAGTTCGACTCAGAGAAGTCGTTCATGGTCTCAGAGTTAGAACAGTCTCAGACTCAGAGAAGTCGCTTCAGGTCTCAGAGGTTGGAACAGTCTCAGACTCAGAGAAGTCGTTCATGGTACTCAGAGTTGGATCAGTCTCAGACTCAGAGGAAGTCGACTTCATGGTCTCAGAGTTGAACAGTCTCAGACTAGAGAAGTCGCTTCATGGTCCAGAGTTGGAACAGTCTCAGACTCACAGTGGATCTGAACGTGTTACTACAAATGTTCATTTATGAAATATGTGAAATCATTGTATCATGGAACATGCAGTGACCTGGACTGGGCTGGACCGGATGGACTAGACTGTGGCTGGGACTTGGCTGGGGCAGGACTGGACTGCGCTGGGCTGGGCAGGGACTGAAACTGGGCTGGACTGGACTGGGCTGGGCTGGACTTGCACTACACACAACAAAACATGTTCAGTTTGATGTGTGTCGTGGATGCGATTGTTTGATATTGACTCTGCTAGAACATGTGCCGAGCCATAACTAAAAAAAAGTTACCATGGAGCGGCTTAGGCGAGTTGGTGAGAACACCATCAACCCGGGACAGGAGAGTCGTGTCTCTCTCTGTTGTTTATGATTCTAGTTATTTGTGATTTTATGTTTCTTGTTTGGTTTTGAGGTTTTCTTCTGTATGAATCTGTGCCTACACAATTAAACTGTGGCACGGCCCCTTCTGCTCCGCCCTGAGAGAGGGTCGAGGACAGGACAGACTCTGTCCCTCTCTTGCGTCTCCTCTCTGGGTCTCTCCCTGGTCTTTCCATGGTCTCTCTCTGGTCTCTCTCTCTGGCTCTCCCTGGTCTTTCCCTGTCTCTCTCTGGTCTCTCTCTGGTTCTCTCTCTGGTCTTCCCTGTTCTTCTCCACTTAGACCCTGTCTCTGGTCTCTCTCTGGTCTCTCTCTGTCTCTCCCTGGTCTTTCCCTGGTCTTCTCTCTGGTCTCTCTCTCTGGTCTCCTCTGGTCTCTCCCTGGTATTTCCCTAGTCTCTTTCTGGTCTCTCTCTGGTTTCTCTGGTCTCTCTTTGGTCTCTCTCTCTTGTCTCATTTGTCCTTATCAGCATTTCCCCCAAATATAGGAAGCTTCACTTGTTGCTCTCAGTGTCGTGTGTGTGTGGTGATGTAGTGTGTGTGTGGGCTTCTATCCAGTTCCCTGTGTGTACTGTACATTTGTGGTCTCCTCCTTCATTATGTGATGGGGCTGTTTAGTGG